TGCTACAGATGTGACAAGTCGGGCCATTACGCATCCAAATGTCCTGACCGAACCCAAAAATTCCAAGAAAGTAATTTTACCGAACATGACGATGCCGATGAAACAGTATTTTTACACGAGACCGTATTTTTGAACGAAGAGAAGGTGATACCGTCTCGATACAACTCACAAGAAAACGATGTATGGTATTTGGATAACGGGGCGAGTAATCACATGACGGGAAATCGTTCATTTTTCTCCGAACTCGACGAAGGAATAACCGGAAAGGTTAAATTCGGTGATAATTCGTGTGTCGAAATAAAAGGGAAAGGCTCAATTCTTTTCCAAGGAAAATCGGGGTAGCAACGTTTGATGACAGAAATATATTTTATACCGGATCTGAAAAATAATATTTTCAGTCTCGGTCAAGCAACCGAAGCCGGATGTGATATTCGGATGAAAGACGAATATTTGACGATGCATGATGCCGACAACTGCTTATTAATGAAGGTACAAAGAACTCCAAACCGCCTTTATAAAATAAAGTTGACTATTGGAGAACCAATTTTCCTTCATTCAAGACTAAGTGAAGACACGTGGCGCTGGCATGCAAGACTTGGACACATCAATTTCGAGTCAATGAAAAAGATGTCCAAGAAAGGTCTAGTCAAAGGGTTACCCCATTTTGACAGTGAGAATCAATTATGTGAATCTTGTTTGGTGGGCAAGCAAACAAGAAAGTCATTTCCATTAATGACGATGTACAAAGCAACACGACCATTGGAGCTAGTTCACGGTGATTTATGTGGTCCGATAACACCGTCAACGAAGGGTCAAAATCGATACATTTTCACACTAATTGACGATTTTTCACGGTATATGTGGATTTTTCTCTTAAAAGAGAAAAATGAGGCGTTTTTACACTTCAAAAAATTTAAAGCTTTGGCGGAGAATGAGCTCGGAAAGTCTTTAAAGGTGTTTCGAAGTGATCGAGGAGGTGAGTTTACTTCGCTCGAGTTTAATTCCTTTTGTGATATGAATGGAATCAAACGTCATCTTACCGCCCCATATTCACCACAACAAAACGGTATTGTGGAACGAAGAAACAGAACACTTATGGACATGACACGAAGTATCATGAAGGCGATGCATGTTCCAAACTATCTATGGGGAGAAGCGGTAAAACATTCCACAAACCTGATCAACCGTGTTTACACAAGAGTACTTGGTGATACAACTCCGTACGAGAAGTTGTATAAAAGAAAACCTAATTTGGAGAACGTACGCATCTTTGGGTGTTTAGCGTATGCAAAAGTTGAACCGGTAAACGTGAAAAAATTGGATGCAAGATCAAGACCATTGGTTCATCTTGGTTCTGAACCGGGTACAAAAGCCTATCGGTTATTTAACCCGGTTACACAAAAAATAATCGTAAGTCGAGACGTTATTTTTAATGAAACCAAAGGATGGAATTGGGTTAACAAAGCTACACCTGACAATGAAGAACCAGGATCATTCATAGTACCATGGGATTTACCGGAAGATAAGGCAAACAACAACCAAGGAAACGAAGTAAACAACGAACCAAACGAATCGGATCACGAGATTGAAGACGGAGTGGAGGTACAAGAAAATGAGCAACCAAGTCCGATCAACAACAACGTGAACAATGTTCAAAACCAAAGGCCCACAAGACAAAAGGTGCTTCCAATTCGATTACGAGATTATGTACTTTATGTTGATGAAATTGAAGAACTTCTCCTAGCAACCAATGACGAGCCGGTATCGGTTGAAGAGGCGAAGAAAGAACCAGAGTGGGTCAAAGCCATGAATACAGAGATCAATTCAATCAACAAGAACAATACTTGGTCTCTCGTAAACAAACCTATGGGGGTGAAGCCCATTGGACTCAAATGGGTGTTCAAGCTGAAGAAAAATGCAGATGGCACCATAAACAAACACAAGGCGAGGTTGGTTGCTAAAGGGTACGTACAACAACCTGGTATTGACTTTCAAGAAGTATTTGCTCCGGTAGCTCGCATCGAAACCATACGGTTTCTCATTGCCTTAGCCGCTACCAATGGATGGGAGCTTCACCACTTGGATGTCAAGACGGCTTTCTTACATGGAGAGTTGAGAGAAACCGTCTATGTGTATCAACCGGAAGGCTACATAAGGAAAGGCGACGAGCACAAGGTGTACCGTCTTTCAAAAGCACTATATGGTCTTAGACAAGCACCGAGAGCATGGAATACAAAACTTGATGGGATTTTGAAAGGAATGAAATTTCACAAGTGCATGAAAGAACCATCGGTGTACCGGAAGAACGAAGGATCCAACTTGCTAATTTTAGCAATCTATGTTGATGATTTGTTTGTCACAGGTACAAATTTGAGCATGATCAAAAGGTTCAAATTTGAAATGTCCAAGAACTTCGAGATGTCTGATCTTGGAAGATTAACTTACTACCTGGGCATTGAAGTCAAACAAGAAGAATCAGGGATTACTATAAACCAAGAAGTGTATGCTAGACGCATTCTAAAAGAAGCCGGTTTACACGATTGCAATCCGACCCACATTCCCATGGATTCAGGAACCAAAATGTCGAAGGCCGAAAATGAACCCGAAATCGACCCGACACAATACCGAAAGTTGGTAGGATGCCTTAGATATCTCTTGCAGACAAGACCCGATATGGCATATGCGGTTGGAGTTGTTAGTCGATACATGCAAGATCCAAGAGAATCACATGGTGTTGCAATCAAACACGTCCTAAGGTACTTACATGGAACAACGTCACATGGAATCAAGTACTAGAGGATGGGGCAAAACCGGATCATTGGTTACAGCGATAGTAGTCACAATGTCGACCCGGACGACGGAAGAAGCACAACCGGTCACATTTTCTACTATGGGTTGTCTCCAATAACATGGTGTTCTCAAAAGCAAGATACTGTTGCTTTATCATCTTGCGAGGCGGAGTTCATGGCTGCAACTGCGGCTGCATGTCAAGCAATATGGCTTCAAGATTTGCTAGGCGAAATCATGAACAAAGCACAAGAAAAGGTGGTCCTAAGAGTTGATAACAAGTCAGCTATCGAACTCACGAAGAATCCTGTTTTTCACGGAAGAAGCAAACACATTCACACGAGGTTTCACTTCATTCGTAAGTGTGTTGAAAAGGAACAAGTGGAGGTGAAATACATTCCAGGTGAAGAACAAAAGGCAGACATTCTCACAAAACCATTGGCTCGAACCAAGTTCAAGACAATGTGGGACTTGATCGGGATTGAAAAACATCTCTAGAAGGACTTAGAGATTCGGGGGTGATTGTTGGAATCTTAAATTCCTTAATACCCTACCAATGTTTTCCACTCCAACAAAGTAAACTTGATTCCTGGAACAAAGTAAGGGACACCAACAAGTGGTTGGGTCTCATGTATATTAATTATAGGATTAAAATGATTCTATCAATCCTATATATTCAGTGTATTACCAAGAGGGTAAGACACAGCAACATACATAGACATATACACATATATATGTAATTGGTTTTGAGTTATATTTCCAATCAATCAAAGAGTTATTTTGATATATATATTTGTCTGTGTCTTTACAAATTGCAATATTAGAACCCCTACATTCCTCGCAACTGATTAATCACCACCGAACCACAACCTGAAAGCCATTGATCGGAGATCTAGATTGAAATGCTCAAATTTATGACGGTAATAGTTATGATTCTTCCTTTGATTGATGATTGGAGTTGTTTTTCTTAACTGAGATGGAAAGAGGAGAACGATTTTATTTTTTCAAAATCCAGGATGGACTTCTATACATTTGTGTTTGTGTGTATTATCAGTATTGTGTGTTAATTTGAACCTTAATCAAGAACTCAATTTATGAGTTTTGTTAGGATTGGTTCAAAAATTTAGATCAGGTGACAGGTGTTTCTGATTTCTTTTTCTACGGTGCATTGTCACCACCACAGATCGATTTTGTGGGTTCACGGTTGAACACGATTAAACCAAAACCTGCAAATCAATTTATGGGTTTTTGTTAGGGCTGCTAACTGTCGATTTTTATTAGCTTCTCCAAGATGAATGAGATGAACACAAACCTGCAAATCAATTTATTATTTCCAAAAAACGATTTTTATTAGCTGCTAACTGATGATTTTTATTCATCATCGATTATGTGTGTGTATGAGTGTATTGTGTGGAGAGAGAGAGAGAGAGAGAGAGAGAGAGAGAGAGAGAGGATGGGGACCATTTGTGTGCATAAAACAAAGGGTATTTTTGTCATTTAAGAAAACTTAACAAAATCTATTAACAGAGTTAGTCATAAGGATCATTTGTGTGAATGTTTGCTCTGTAGGTACCATCTGAGGGAAAAAAGTTTCATAGGGACTACTTTAGGGAAAAAAACAAAATCTAAAGGACCATTCATGTAATTTGTTCTTTAAATTAATTAAAAAATCAAGCGAAAATAGTCTTTTTAGATAAGAGACAAGGACCAAACGCGTAATAAAAACAAACAGCGGGGACCTTCCAAGTTAAAAAATAAGTTAGGGACCAAACACGCAAATTACCCTTAACCATAAGGACGATTCGCGTAATTTACTCTAAAAAATTAACACGGACTGAATTTCTGACTTTTAGTAAACCACATGGACCACTTATGTAATTTTGTCAAAATATAATGAGTGAAATTACTTCTATTTACTTTTTACAAAATCTTATGAAAAAATTTCTTTAACAAAGAGATTATAAATGTATAGACATAAATGTTTCCATCATGAAACTATTGAAGATCTACCTTTACACAAAAATACAGCTTGCCCATTGCTTGATACTTTACTATAGATATTGATTTTCTCATGTAATACACTCGATAATCGGTATATGTGTTTTTTTCATAGTTTCTACTTATCTTGAGGTTTATATTTCCATCGTGATCTTAAACTTAAACTCGGAGATAAAAAAGAGATCGTAAGTCTACATCATCTTTAATTACTTCAATCACCATGGATTCTTCAATTGATATTCAAGCAAGCATATAATAGAAGACATGTCTTCATTGTCACTCCCACCAGCAACAAAAGCCACCACCTTGTTTTTTACTTCAATCCAACTACAACCAGGCATCTTCTTCACCCCTTCATCAGCCATAACTTTTCTAACCATCTCAGCTTCTTTCCACTTCCCCTTTACACAATACAAATTCGAAAGCACCACATAACTCATCTCACTTTCACCTTCCAACATCTCTAATTCACCATGTGCATAACAAGCTCCAAAAACACCCTCACTCGACTTCCCCATTTCACCATGTGTCCTTCTGTAACTTTCCACCATCTCTCTTGCTTCTTCCAACTCCCCTCCTCGAGCCAACATATCCACCATGCATGCCACATGTTCTACCTCAGGACACAACCCATGGACCCCACTCATCGATTGAAAAAAATCTCGTCCTTTTTCAACAAACCCTAAATGGCTACATGTCATTAGTAAGCTTATGAATGTCACATTATCTGGTTTCAAATTAGATTCTATTATTTTGTCATAAATCTCTAGGGCTTTATCACCCCATCCATGTAGACCATAAGAAATCAACATTGTATTCCATGAAACCAAATCTTTTTCGATTATATCATTAAAAGATTGGAAAGAACTAAAAATATCTCCACATTTTGCATACATGTTAACCAATCCATTTCCAACATAAGCATAAGAATGATATCCATGTCGAATTGCAAGACTATGAATCATTTTTCCATGACCTAATGTTGCCATGAGAGAACAAGCATGAAGAACTGTTCCTAAAGAAAAATCATCAGGAAGGAGGTTGGATCTTATCATATTGACAAAAAAACGTATCCCTTCTTCGGAATTTCCGTTTCTAACATACCCTGATATCATTGAAGTCCATGAAATAACGTTTTTTTCAGGGGCGTTGTGAAATGCAATAAGGGCTTTTTGGGTATTTCCTATTTTCATATGCGCGTCTATTATTGCATTCCAAGAAACTTGAGTGAGAGTGTGAATGGACTCAAAGATTTTTAGTACATCTTCTGGACTACTTAGATGTGCATAGAAGCTAAGAATCGAGTTGTTTGCTTCAACTGCTGAATTCCATCCTTTCTTGATGACAATAGCATGAAACATGCAACCAATGTGATATTCTTGTGATTCAGTAGCAGCATTCATGAGGGCACTGAATGTCCATTGATCTTGAATTTGATCACATGATTCAGTCATCATCCTCTTGAACAAATCAACACAAGAATTGACATTCCCATGTCGAGCATGACCTGCAATCAGAGTATTCCAAGCAATGTTTATCCTATTTGGCATTGCATCAAAAACACTTTGGGCAGATTGAAATTGATTGGAGTTAACATAAGCAAACAGCAAAGAACACCAAGAGACATTGTTTCTGATCAACTCGATTTCTTCAAACACATCATGTGCACTACAAGGGCTCAAACATTTGGCATACATATCAATTAGGGCATTGTTCACTGGAAGTGAAGAAGAATATCCAGCAGAGAGAATCAAAGCATGGATCTTTTGTCCAATACGCAGCTTACCTGAGCCAGCACATGCACTCAAAGTTGCAGTAAATGAGTAATGATCAGGTTTGATGCTGTTAATCCCTGTCATTTCGTGGAACAGTAACAGAGCTTCTTGGAAAAGACCAAGATGAGTATAAGAAGTGAGCATTGTGTTCCAGACGACTGTGTCTCTTTGGGGCATTTCATCGAACAGTTTACGTGCACAAGTGACTTTCCCCAATTTTGCAAGTGCTGCAATTTTTGATGTTGTATGAACCATATATGATCCCATGTTATTATTATACTATAGGATCGAGGGAAACCCATTAACCTGTAACTCAAATTATACGTTCTGGTTGGCCAGAATTGTTTTTCTTGGGATCTAAGAACAACCAAGTTGAGACCTCAGGAACAATGAGAATTTGCTTTTATCCTTCACTTGATCCGAAGGTATTCTTCGCGACGACACTCTCAGAACTTTGAAAGCTTCATTCAGATCAAGCATCGTGGTCCGTTAGGAGAAAATGTTAGCGACATTAGTTAGCTCGAGAGGAGTTGGACAAATATATAGTGATTAATAGATTTCGATTTTAATGATAATCCATTAATTAATGTTTCGTAAAATTTAATTTACTTTTTAATCTTTGAAATTAAATTAAAATAACTATATGTATAGAAACAAATAAGGAATAATTATAAAAAATCTGGTTTCTAATATAAATATAAAATATCCTTAGCTTTATAAGTTTTTATTAGTATAAATAAGTAGTGATTAATAGATTTCGATTTTAATGATAATCGATTAATTAATGTTTGGTAAAATTTAATTTACTTTTTAATCTTTGAAATTAAATTAAAATAACTATATGTGTAGAAACAAATAAGGAATAATTATAAGAAATCTGGTTTCTAATATAAATGTAAAATATCCTTAGTTTTATAAGTTTTTATTAGTATAAATAAGTACAACAGTAATTTATAATTTCATGAATATAATCTGATATTTACTTACATTTGTTTGGTTCCAATCTTCTCTAATAAATAAAAGTTTTTTTTGCCACTTGTCAATCTTTTATGAGTTTTGACACTTGTCATTTTGTAGTATTTTTAGAATAAATAATATACACATGTCATTTTATGGGTTTTTTTTAAATTTTAAAAGAGTAAATTACTGAAATCGTCCCTATGGTTTGGTCAAAATTTCACGTTTGGTCCCTAACTTTTATTTTGCACTCGGATCGTCCCTGTGGTTTGATTTTGTTGCGTTTTTCGTCCCTATGGTTTGGTCAAAATTGCATGTTTGGTCCCTAACTTTACATATGTAAGGGACGAAAAACGCAACAAAATCAAACCACAGGGACGATACGAGTGCAAAATAAAAGTTAGGGACCAAAAGTGCAATTTTGACCAAAACATAAGGACGATTTCAGTAATTTACTCATTTTAAAATTAAAAAGCCACATAATACTTATAATTATATATGTAAAATATTTATTGTAATAAATGTGATAGTAAATTGCAATGAATATGTTTCTTTTTTGCTTATTATTTCGAAATTTTATTTTAAAAAATATTTAATATTACATTTTAATATTTAATATTTTTTAATTAACCCGTGTATTACACTGGTTTAACACCTAATAGGAAAATATAACCCGGTATGATTATAACCAATCTTTTTGTGTTTCCTTTTAACCTACAAAGTTTATATCATCATTCTCTAGGAATATTTAATCCTTTTTTTTATATATTTTATACATTTAATTTTGTATATGTAATATTCTCATGAATACATATCAATTTTGTTTAAATATTAGGATTATCACTAAAAAAAGTCTCATTATTTTAAACTATTTTATAGAAAGTTTCAACTTTTTTTTTAATAAAGTCTCGATTATCTAATATTTTGCTTAAATTAAGAGAAAAGTCCTTGATTTTTTTAACAAAAAATTACATATTATCATATAAATTTAAATAATCAAGACTTTTCTGCTAAAAAAAATATAACAAAATATAATTTATCTAACAATAACCCTAAATATTATTTTACATATGCCAACACTTGTGGCATATTATAAATGGTTAATTTGCATGTACAAATTACTAATCAACTAGTAATAAAACCTTTAACTATCTACATTGAACTTCTAGATTTTGTTTTTCCTTAAAACTTATTAATAACATTGTGATAAATCATTAACCTTTTAGCATAATATTGTTTTTACTAAATATTTATTACTTGAACTAATTGATGTAGTTAGTTAGCTTTGTTATGTTTAACTAATTAGTTTGATCTCTCAATGAGTAGTCTTAAGTGTATCAACTAATCCAAAAAAAAAAAAAAAGGAACACGTTTAGAATTCATCAAGTCAAACCCTAAGAAAAGTCAAGGTAACTCCTGCATATGTAATAATATCACTTCTTTCCACCATTAGAGACATTAAATTTGAAAAAGATTATATCCCCATCTTGTACCACGTAAGTCTTTCCCTCTTGTTTATACTTCCCTGCAGCCTGCACAAAAAAATAAAAAAATAAAAAAATAAAAAAATAAAAAAACCCACAAACTTTCATACGATAAAAAGAAAAGTACTTACATTGATATGTTTATTATAGATTTTTGAAATACAGAAAAAAAAATTCAGCGTATAGGCAGATATGGAACAAGGGTACCTTCACAGCAGCCTCACTTCCAAGCGCCTTAAGATCATCAAACTTCATAACCTACAAAAAAAAAACAAAAAAAAATATATTTGTAAGAATATGACTATTGTAAACATGTGGAGATGAAGAAAAAAATTTCAGACACAACCTCTGCACAAATGAATCCTCTTTCAAAATCAGTATGAATTGCTCCTGCAGCTTGAGGAGCTTTAGTTTGCCTTCGAATTTGCCAGCATTTCACCTGCATTGCATTCAAGAAGCATATAACTTTGAAGGAACTGGAATGGAATTCGGGATTCAATTCCAGGGTTTGTTTGGAATTGGTTGCCAAATGGATGAAATTCAATTCCGTTAGAATCTTTCGAATTACATGTTTGATGGATTTCATTAAGGGAGGTGGAAGACATTCGGTTTCATTCTATATTTTTTTATTAAAAAGACCAAAATACCCTCGTTACCTCGTCAATGCCAGCTGTAAAGAAGTATATAAGATTGATAGCTGAGAATCCAGTCTTTATAATCTTTGGAAGAGCACTGTAGAATAATAATCATCCATGTCAGACAATATATTTTTTGTCAATTAATTAAGCACCTATGTATTTAATACAATCTGTCACCATCATAAATATTACTATTTACTACTCTCTCCACTTTTGGAGAATAAGATTAATTTTTTTTTTTATACTAACCAACAAATCAAAACAAGAATATATCATTTTTGGTATCCATTAAAATGTTTGTTATATTAAGTGATGTATTTATCATTTAAATAAGGATTAATCTCATAAAAGACCATAGGTTTTGTGTTTTTTCCGGATTAAACCTTAATTTTTTTAATTTTCTTTTTTTTTGCCAGAGAACACTTTGTATTTTTTTCATTTTTTCCGAAAAAGCCCTAACTTTGTATTTTTTTTTCCGAAAAAAACCCTTAACCTTCTAAATGCATCCAAATAAACCCTCAACTTTTTCAGTTTTTCTTGAGAAAACCCTCACATTTTAAAAAAAAAATTGGAAAAAAATAACTCAAAGGGCCAGATCGGAAAAAACACAAAATATAAGATCTTTTATAAGATTAACCCTTTAAATAACCAATAGAATGCATTACAGAATCTTTCAAGTTTAAACAAATGTCAAATATGAAGTTACCTTTGTACTTTATTGTCCTCACAGTATTTTGCAGCTTCATTTTGTTTCATATCAGCTAAATTTCTTTCTAAGGCACAGCTAAAAGGAATAATAGGCTCACCTCCATGCCCCTGTACCCTACAAAAGGTTTTATTCTAAAATGTATTTGGTTTATTCTAGAAAATATGAAAGGTATGGAAAATGACCCATCTACCCTTTGGGGTTCATATGCCATAATAGAAGTAGATATGCACCTAGAGCTGGCAAAAATCGACCAACCCACCAACCCAACCCAAAAATAGCGGGTTGGGTTGGGATTTTCAACCCATTTAAGTTAAATGGGTCAACCTGTCTAACCCATTTAGTTAAATAGGTTGGGTTGGGTAAAAATTATCAACCTGTTTTCAACCCGCCAACCCATTTAAGTTTAATATACATATTGAATTTAATAATTATTTGAATATTATCATATATTAATCAAATTATTAATGTATAAATTACAATGTTGTATTATTATTAATGCTTTAAAAACATGCAATCCTGATTCTTATCATTTTTCTTAGCGCAGACAATATTAAATACTCTCCTAAATCACTTTGAAATTTAATATTTTTAATGTTATTTGAACAATATATTTGTCTTTATGAATTGAGATTGTACTTTTGTCATACTTTGAAATTTTATTTACGTTTGGAACTAATTTATGTGGTATAATCTTTAGTTACATAATTTATTTATGTGATTTTAAATGGGTTAACCCTAGTGTAACCCATTTATTTACTAGGTAGGGTAAAAAAACTACATAAACGGGTCGACCCAGTGACAACCCATTTAAATAAATAGGTTGGGTTGGGTTGAGATTTTCAACCCAGTTAATAAATGGGTTGAACCCAAACCCAACCCAGGTCAACCCATTGCCACCTCTATATGCACCAAATATCAAATACTATGTTATAGATTAGTGAAAGCTTACATACCAAGAATGAATCTTGGGAAGCAATTTGTTCTTTTTCCTTTGATAATCTTTCTCATTCATGTTGACCTAATTAAGAGCCAACAAACACAGCTTTTCTAGTTACCAAAGAAAATTCACCAAGATGAAGAAGTGCCAAATGACCAAAATACCCCTGGACTACTAGTCAAAGTACATGTAAACAGTAGTTGGTGTACACAAGTGTAAATATAATGCTTTATTCGTTTATTCAACAAGAAAATCTATTCATGTTAATAGATATTCTGGTTATCTTACCATGATGACTTTTTAGTAAACAAACTTGTGGGTTGATGGACAGGTGTCAAATGACCAAAATACCCCTGGACTATTGGTCAGAGTACGTGTAAACAGTAGTTGGCGTACAAAAGTGTAGATACAATGCATTATTCATTTATTCTATAAGAAAACTTATATATGATAAATGATAATAGATATTCCTGTAATATATTATCTTACCAAATAAACAACAGGTTTTGCTGTAAGCAATTGAAAGGTATTCAAGATTTCAATATCAGCAGCTTTCCAGTCCCCTAATCGGACATCTTTATCCTCCATGAGCCATGTTTTGACCTACAGAAGTAGATATAATCACTGTCATATATTTAATCGAAAAGTATTCTTAGATTAAGCAAATGATCAATGAAATAATCAAGGACTACAAGGTTTTATTAAGAAAATATGGTTATTAATGAGGATACCTTGAGGCATAATTCATGTTCCACTTTCACCTGTTTGTCATTGCTCCTCTTCAAGATCTTCTCAAGATCCTCTATCCTTCTTTCCATGAATTCAATATCCTTCAAACATACAAAAAGATAGCAGAATTTATCATCCAAATCATTCATTAAAAACTCAAGAACAAAGTATGTAACAATCAAAAGAATATCTGAAGCACACCTTCAACTGTAATTCTGCAGTTATAACTTCTAAGTCTCTTATAGGATCTACAGAGTCATCCACATGTATGATATCAGGGTCTTCAAATGCACCTGTTGCGTGATAATATGTAAAATTACATGTCTTCATGTGTGTTTAACATTAATTACATTGAAGAAAAAACTCAGATAACCTATAAAATTGACAAAATTTAATTCAAAAGATGACTATATCTTACGTAAAACATGGAATATGCCATCAACTGCACGAATGTGAGATAAGAAATTGTTTCCAAGCCCTTGTCCTTCATGAGCACCTTTAACCAGCCCAGCTATATCATGTATCTCTAAGAACGCTGACACCTGCACATCCAAATAAGAGTAATGTGCATAACAGCAGCTTAATGATGATCATGATAAGTTAACAATGAATTAGTGTAGAAGTTAAATCATAGGGGCAAAATTGGCAATTTTGAGTGATTATAGGTCAAAACACTTTGATATGATCAACAGATAACATGATTGTTTAAGCAAAGAATATGATATTGGACACAGGACATAGGACATACCTCACTTTTTGGCTTGAAGTGCTGACACAGCCACTCAAATCTCTCATCTGGAATATGAACACGTGCCTCGTTAGGTTCAATTGTACAGAATGGGAAGTTCTCAGCTGGAATAGACAACTTTGTGAGTGTGTTAAAAAGTGTAGATTTTCCTACATTTGGTAATCCAACCTGAAATCAATATGAAAATAAGAAGATTTGAATGAAATCTCCATTACGGAACAATTAGGTACCAAAAACGATCAAATACACAAATAATTTCAAACGAAATGTTAGAAACAATCATACGGAAAAACTTCGATTCTATGATTTCCTACAGTACTCCTATAAGTCTATAACCTTCATTCTCAAACTAAGCAAAAAGACCTTAACAGTAATAAATTAAATTCTCGATCAACATAAATATGATATATCAATGACATTATGATCATATACAGATAAAATGTTATAAGGAGCTCACGATTCCGATTTTAAGATGAGAAGAGAAACGACCGAGGATTGGCCTCTCCACCGGTGCCTCCTTTGATTTAGCTGCTTTCGGAGGCATGTCTCCTTACACGAACAGAGAGAAGAAAATCGGGAACAGAGGATTTGTTAATGATTTAGTTAGGGTTTATAGAAAATGATCGTAAGAGATGAAAAAGTGAAAAAGCTCCCGATTATGGCAGAAAATTCTCGACTCGACTACACTGTGTATGAGTGTAGCGTTAAACTGATTATACTTGGCAGTTGGGATTACCATGAGACCCGGCTTAAGTCGTTCTCGTTTAAAGTCCGGTTTAAATTGCATAGGAGACTCCGGGCTGATATTTGGGCTCGAGGCCCAAATCATGAATATAACAAATAGAGTAAGTTACAGATTTAGTCCCTGGATAAGTTTTTTCTTTAGTTTACCGACTCTTATTGCATGTTTTTTGTTTAATTATTTCTTTCTAAATTAGTCTTTTACTAGTATTTTTGTTCTCACAATCTCATCCATGTCCCCTGGCGATATGTGCTGAACATCTATTCAAAAAATATTATAAATAGTCAATATATATATAATAAACATATTTTAAACAAAACTGATAAGCAACATTTGTAATTTTAACAAATATTATAAACAATCAGGATGTATAATAACTATAGCATACCGTCAATCAATACAATAATATCTAGGTACAACATCTTCATCATTGTATTTCTAGGCTCTTAATGAATATAAAGAAATGACTTAAACTAAACATCAATGATTTAACGTGTTTTTATACTTTTGTTAATTATAACATCATACTTTTGTTTGTTTTCTACTATAGCATCGTACTTTTATTAGTTTGTTTTCTAATATAATTATAAAATGAAATGAAAATAGAATGCTTTCATAAACAAACTAATAAAAGTATGTTGCTATTAATAACCTCTGTAGTTAGGTTTTGTTTAATAACAACGTACTTTTGTTATTTTGTTTAGTAAAGCATTCTATTTCACTTATTTTGAGCTATGGGTTTTTTTATAATAACATTGTACTTTAAATAATTAACTTATTAGATTATACATAATAATAACATTGTGCTTTAGTTATTAATTTTTTGTTTTTTTTTCTATTATAAATATAAAAAAGAAATGAAAATATGATGTTGTAATCAACAAACTAATAAAAGTACATTGTTATTAATAACCTTTGTAGTTAGGTTTTATCTAATAGCAACATACTGTTGTTAGTTTGTTAATTAAAGCATTCTATTTTCTAACACCTAGTTCCAGGTAAGCACCATTTTGAAATTTCTGATTAAATTCTTAAAGATTAAACCCTGATCACGACGTGAGCACTTAGGTGTCACGACGTGATCCCAATTGGAAGAATCGTGCATACCCTTTAGACTCACGACGTGAGCCCTTATGGGTCACGACGTGAGACCCTAGCTTGGAGGCAAACCCTAATTTTTGGGGATTTAGTCAATATTTAAAGGAAGTATGAGTTAGGGTTAGCCCACCCTCAGCCTTTATTACCTCCTAATACTCGCCCTTGAAACCCTAGCACCCATAATTTATTTTGAGCGCTTTTGCAGTGATTTTAGAAAAGAAGAAGAAGAGGAAGAGCATCTAGCACACCATCTCGGCATTCAAGCCTCACCATCATTCATCTTTACACCTCTGGACCCTTGTATGTTTCAAGTTCAACGCTTTATGAGTTAATAAGCTTAGATCTAGGTTTTTATGCATTATCTTTCATGTCTAGGTTGATATAGTGTTTAGGGTCCATAAAGTTGCCAACTTTATGGATCTCCATTCCCCCTTTGATGATATAAGGGTTGGATTTAAAGTATGGTTGGGTTTTGAGACTCTTGCATGAGTTCCTAATACTATTTCTTCCTTTTGTGCCCTAGCCTGTGTTTAGGACATGCATTGGACATGCATGTCCAAAAATCCACTATCTTTATGATGTTTTGAAGTAGATGAGATAGTATGGAAGTTTTGGTTACTTGTCTAAAAGGATTAAGAGCTTATTGCATCAACCTTTTAAAGTGCTTCTCACGACGTGAGCACTTGTGGCTCACGACGTGAGAATGTAATAACCTGATTATCTCGTTGTATTAGGTGAAAAAGTGACCACTAGATGGTCACAACGTAACAACTAGCTATATGAATTTTGAGCTTGGATTTTGACCATTGATTGTTGACCATTGACCAAGTTTAACTTTAGGTCAAATAGAGTGAATTGAGTAGTAGATTGAGGCTTGGTCCCTGTTTGTGGTATAGGTGACCTATAGAGCTGGTATTTGGAGCAGCATTCAGTTCGACTATCTTTCGAACATTGAGGTGAGTTTTCCTCATTGTACTCTTGGGTCGAAGGCACTAATGCCGACCCTCTAAGTTATGTATCCTGGTATTTAGGATGATGGTATGTCTGTTATATGTTAGACTGGTAGATTTATATAATTACTTTATATTCACTAATGATATGTTAGACTGGTAGATTTGTTTGATTACCTATACTTAATGGCGATTATTTATAGTTGCATATGTCAACATGTTATTGTGTTGTGGGGGTTGAGGCCAAACTGCTTTGCGCTGAAGGCCAAAACACCTGGGCGGTCCAGTTTATATTGTAGGCCTAAGGGAGCGGTTCAACTTATGTTTTAGGCTCGGGTGTGGTCCAGCTAGTAGCTGAAGGCTCGATGGCGGTCCAAATTAGTGTTGGAGGCTTAGTTGCGTGCGTTGTATTATGTTGTTGTGTGTGGTAATTGTTGGTTTTTGTATACTACAACATCCTATAGTGCACATACAACCCTAAATGCCTTGGATCTATGTTTTCTCTAATTATACATGTAATGGTGTTTCCAAAGCATTAAACCTATAAATAGCATGCAATTGACATAAACAATATATAATACTAGTTAGGATGACATACCTTTTATGTAGCTTGAGGTCTTGATGTATTTGACCTTAAAGAGCTTAGCCCCAATAGTGTGGAAGCCTCAAATGGAATCACAACACACCATGGGCAAAGGTGGACATTTGAGAGAGAATCTTCATACACCAAAACACCTCCATATTTCTCTAAGGAAAGAAGTGGTGATTTTGGCTATGGAGTAACCTATTTATATGTAGGATTCCAAAGGTCATAGGTATAACCCAAATCCATACTCATGGGTTTTATGATCCATGGTTCATGTGGCCCAACTCTTTATGTATCCATACATAAACTTAGTCCAACATGGATCATAAGCCCAACAGATATAAATATAACTAATTACCATAATTAGTCCCCATAGATTTGATTAGTCTCTTTTGATCACTAAATTAATTCCAAATTAATTCTTGATCAATACTAATTAAAACATATCATTTCATATTAATATATTTAACTCATAATATATTAATAAATCATATATAACCTCTTCTCTCAAAAGTCCATCCTAACAAATTGTCCTGATGATATGCAACCCAAATGGACCATGCTACTCTCGGGTCAAGTACATACCAATTATAGTTATGGGTTTAGACACCTAATCCAACAGTCTCCCACTTGGATAAGTCTAATAACTATTATTGCAAGTATGACTCCAAAACCCGACTAGCAATCGTAGCTCTTAAAGTCGTTGTCGAACTCTGACCTAGTCAATGACATGTCCATTAGATAAGGGATCATATATTTCTCCATTCTAGATATCATATGGACTGAGACATGGATTATAATCATTCTCTTTGTCCATCTTTTGTTTCCCGATTTCCGATTTATGACGACTGGCTAATTGAACAAATCAAATCAGCCCAGGCCCGACCGAGCACTTACGGTTGTCATCACTAAATCATCGAGGGGCCCACAGATACCGCTTTTATCCCTCTAAGGGTAAAAGGAATGGATAAACTTCGACTCAAATGCTCTCTTGTACTTACTCACCAAATTACACACAACAATATGTTTTATAACATACAAGTTACTGGTGCGTTTACATATGTCAATGTGCAACCGACTCGCAACTACAACTCACATGTCTCCGTTTCAAGAATATAAGATATTATCGTCTCACCAATCACTCGTGATAAAATACATGAAGTGATTTAGATGAGCGTGGGTTTAATCTAATACTCGAATCTTATTCCAGGAGCACTCATGAATACTACATCTATGTCTAAAACATCTAGACATACTACATACCCATTCATGACAGTCTTTCCTCAATACCTACTTCCAAAGTATGATCGACTATGGATGATTTGAATAACCTAGTTATTCGGGAAGTCAAAACATACAAAGTGAAACACAAGAATAATACTAATCGTATATGGCCCCAAAACTTTTGAGAGTAAATAAAACACCTTTTATTTAATCACCATATTGATTACACATTATTCATTGTATAATGTTTCGAATAATCAACTTAATAGTTGATTTAAAACAATAATTATGCCATGCTCCAAGCATGCACGCTATGTTTACTTATGGTCCTTTCTTTGTGAAATATATAAATTGACAACATTTCAATGATGCTCATTTCACAATTCCAAATCCTTATTGTAAATGTAAGAATACCAAATTCTTGTCATTTACTATAATCTGTTAGATTCTAAACTTATATGCAATGATCCACTTGTAATGACTATGCACAAAAGTTACAAAGACTTGGCAACAAATATTACAAAGTATTCCAATGGAGAGCAATTCCATGGAAACAAAGTCTCAAATTTCAAAGTACATTCCTTTGAACATCCTTCTTGCATTAAGTTTTCTGATCTTACACAGATTTACAGAATAATTTCCACCTATGAGAACATTTCTATATTCCCATTTGACTATCACTTCTGAACAAGAGTTGCCTCTTTTCAGAATATGTCAATGTGGTCCTTCCAAAATTTACACTATACTTCCAACTGTCCATGAGCAACCAATCTTTGGTAAACCTCGGATTGTCCTCGACAATTGCTTAATCATTTTAGTCACATCCAGTTCTGGTCTTTTTCCCTCTTAATGCCCTAGGCATTTGGAAATTTTAGAACAGATGAATATTATAGCACATATAATCGATCCTATATCCGAAGCATATGGGACACGATTCATGATGTCTCACATAAAGACGTGATGCTTGACCAGTCTTTTGCAATAATATATTTTTTTATTTGCCATATTCTCACAATTCGAACTATGAAGAGGGATGTCGTAATCATAATCGAATTTTGAGAACGCAACATATATATAATTCCCTTATGTTGAATCATTCCAACATAACATTCATATATATCCTTGACTAAAGTTGATT